GGGGGGGACGCTATGGATGCATGCCTCAATGGTGGTGGATGCCAGGTCCCATATTCCTCCCTGCCTCACTCAGAGCATCCCGATCCTGATGCCCTCCAAGAAGCCACCACCGGCACGCGGCACAATGAGCGCAGCACCTATCAGCGCTGTGGCTGTGGAGTTTGCCCTTCCCAAGCTCCCCAAGCTGGTGAAGAGCTGGAGCGCTGCCGAACCAGTACCAACTGCCACATCCACTGCGGCGCTGCCAGCGGCAGAGCACAAGCAGCTGCGTGTGACGCCATCCCGGTTGACTGTGAAGGAAGCAGCGACTGGCAAAACACCGGTGATGAAAGAGCCGCCAGTGAAACTGGAGGTTCCTGGCATTGCTGCTGAGGTGCCGGTGGGTACCGGCACCCGGATACCAGCTGTGGAGGTGGCAGCACCCAAAGTCAGCATGGGGCTGAGCCTCGCCAGCGCGGCACTGCCAGCCGCCCCCCAAGCCAAGGAGCCAGCGTTACGGCTGCCGCAGCTGGAGGTGGCTGTGCCAGCATTGCCGCTGCCAGCGGTGATGCCAGAGCCCAGCACAACCATAAATCAACCCCAAATCAAGCTGGGGGAGGGAGACACCCCCGGCAGCAGCCGTAAGGGTGGGGGTAGCCCGGTGCTGAAAACCAAGCTGCTGAATTTCAGCACGGCCCCAGGAGAGGATGAGGAGGGGGACACCGGCACGCGAAGGGGGTTTGCTGGTATCCGTGTCCCCTCCATTGCTATCGCCGCTCCCAGCACTGCTGTGGAGCTGGTCCCCGAGCTTGGTGTGCCCAAACAAGAGCCGCCCATCACCGGTGAGCAATCACGGTTGGAGGTGAAGCTGCCGACACTGCGGTCGGAGGCGCCAACGGCAGGACCAGCTCGGCTGACCTTCCCGGCAACAGTGGTGCCGTCCATTGATATTGCCGTGCCGCGTGTTGGTGTGGGTTTGGCATTGCCAGCAGGTGCCGGCACCGCAGCAGTGCCGGATGAGGGGCATGCCGCACTGATGCCAGATGTGGCAGCGAGGTTTGCCAAAGGGCTCCGAAAGCTCAGCCTGGAGCTGGAGCCCATGGCACCACTTCCAGCAGTGGAAATTACCACCCCGACGCGGTTCACTGGGGACATGCCGACAACTGTCGCCAAACCCAAACTCCCCAAATTCACCTTACCGCGATTCGGGTTGTCCCTCGCCAAGCTCAAAATGGGCAGCGACAGCAATGAGTATCCCCTGACATCCCGTGGTACGGCCACACCAGCGCCACCTGGCATCTCCGTCACTGGTCCAACGGTGGCCTTAGACCTGGCTTTGGGGACAGCTGGTGCCACCGGTCCTGGGGTCAAGCTGAAGGTCCCCAAATTATCCCTGGTACCTTTCGGTGTCAAGGACGGGGACAAGGGTGCTGGTGGTGGGGAGGGTCCCCAGGATTCTGGTGCAGTGATGAAGCTGCCGTGGATGGGAATTGGGGGGTCAGGGAGGGACGACAGGAGGTTGGCAGAACCAGGGTCTCCTGGGACCCCCCGGCTTCGGGTACCACAGGTGGGCATTGCCCTGCCTGTGACAGGGAGCCGGCGCGTGCCGTCGTTGCCTAAACTCCCCACTGAGCTGGAGCTGGGTGGGGGGGTGAAGTTGCCAAAATTTGGGGGATCCAGCCCTGATATCCGCATCGGGGGGGACCCCAAACTGATGAGACGTGGGGAAAGCGCTGAGAGCTTGAGCATTGGCATGGCAGGAAGGAAGATCCCGGAGTCTCCCAGCATGATCCGGTTGAAGCTGAAAACCAGGGGGGGGATGGGTGACAGGGGGGCACAACCATTGACCCGCCGGTTCACCGTCCCTGACGTTGGTTTCACCATGCCAGTAGCACAACCGGAGGATCCAGTAAGCCGGAAGGTACCGAAACCCACCAGCGTGCCTGTATCGAAGGTGCCGGTGTTGGAGCTGGCACCGCTGGGGATGGAGGAAACCACCAGGAAGGATATGGCACCAGGACGCCCCTCAAGGGTCAAATTGCCAAAATTCAGCACAGATTTTTCCAGGAGCGGGTTGGAAGGCGAAGGGAAGATGAGGATGGGCAGCGTGAAGAAGGCAGTGCTGGTTCTGGTGAAGCCAAAGGAGAAAGGAGAAGACAGCCAGGTGGTGGACCCCCATCTCCACATCAATGGGGAAGCAGAGGGCAAGGCCCGGCGATGGCAATGGGTGCCCAGGGTGGGTTTCTCCCCTGGGGGGTCCCCACTGGAGCCCCCCATCACCCAGCCCAAGGGGGGGAAGATGCAGTTACCCAATGTTGAGCTCTGCCCTGGGGAACCTGAATTCAACCAGCAGCCGGCGATGACACAAGTCACACCACGCTTCAATTTGGGTGGGTTCAGGGGTGAGGGAACCCCTAAATTTCAGCTGCCGAAGCTGGCACTGAGCCCTCAACCCTGCGGTGAGCGGTGAACCCCACCCCCCAACACACACCCCGAGCATGGGGGTCTTCCGGGACCCCCTGTAACACTGATGGGGTGGTAGAGCATCACTTGCCCCCCCCTCCCCTGACCCTCTTTAACCCTCTTACCCCCACAAAAAATCCTAATCTGACCTTTTTTTGGAGGATGTTTGAAGGTTTTTTGCCCAATTTCCAGGTGTTAATATTAACCAGGGGGCGGGGGGGGAGCATCGCTCGCCCAAGTCAAATAAATATTAACCCAAAAAAAGGCCCTCAGCATGTCTATGGGCTCTGGAGATGGGTTGGGGGGGCAGGAATGGGGTTTAGGGGGACCAGGGACAGGTTTTCTGGGGCTGGAAAGGGGTTTTGGGGGTCTGGGATGGGTTTTAGGGGACCAGGGATGGGTTTAAGAGGATCAGGGACAGGCTTTGGGGGGCCGGGACTGGCTTTTGGGGACCTGGGATGGGTTGGAGGGAGCTAGGGTGGGGTTTGGGGGGATCGGGGATGTGCTTTGGGGGGGTTGCAGATGAATTTTAGGGGACCAGGGCTGGGTTTTAGGGAACTAGGGATGGGTTTCGGGGGGTTCCTCCACCTGGGCTGCAGATCCTTGGGCAGGGGAGCAGTTGGTCTTGGGGACGAGGTCAGCAACAGAAGGTGTAGTCATGGCAATGCCGGAACAGGCAGTGCTGTTGGGGCCCAGGTTGAGGTAGCTGGGTGTTCCAAGCCCCTATTGGGTGCCAAGTGGTGGGTCCCAAGCCCCAGGCAAGGAGCTGACCCGCCATGGGGACGCTGGTGGTGGGTGCTGAGCACTACAACATGGTGGCCGCAGTGGGGAAGGGGACCTTTGGAGAGGTGACCCAGGGCTGGCGGAGGAGCACAGGGGAGATGGTGGCCATCAAGATCCTGAAGAACGAAGGCCATCGTGGCGAGGTGGCAAGGAATGAGCTGAGGCTGCTGCAGGCCTTGCGGGAGGTAGACACAGAGGAGTCGCACGTCGTCCGCTTCCTCGAGTCCTTCAGTGATGGTGCCTGTACCTACCTGGTCTTCGAGCTGCTGGAGCAAAACCTCTTTGACTACCAAAAGCAGAACAACTTCTTGCCATTGCCTGTCCGGCATATCCGTACCATCACGGCACAGGTGCTGGCAGCGTTGGTCAAGCTGAAGGAGCTCTCCATCATCCATGCCGATCTCAAGCCAGAGAACATCATGCTGGTGGACCATGCGCGCTACCCTTTCCGCATCAAACTCATCGACTTTGGCTCGGCCAGCATCTTCGCTGATGTCCGCCATGTCACGGAACCCTACATCCAATCCCGCTTCTACCGGGCACCAGAGATCTTGTTGGGGTTGCCCTTCTGTGAGAAGGTGGACATCTGGTCTTTGGGTTGTGTGGTGGCTGAGCTGCACTTGGGTTGGCCGCTCTACCCCGGCGTCAACGAGTATGACCAGGTCCGCTACATCTGCTCCACCTTGGGGCTACCACGGGGTGAGTTGCTCTGCGCCGCCCGGAAGACATGGTCCTTCTTCCAATGGGTACCACATCCCACTGGTTCCTGGCAGCTCAAACCACCAGGCGAGGAGATGGCAAAACCAATGGAGAGGAGGAAGTATGTCTTCTCCTCACTGGATCAGCTGGCAGTGGTGAACATCCACCCAGTGTCTTATCGTGGCCAGGAGGCACTGGCCGAGCGCTGTGACCTGCATGGGATGGTGGAGCTGGTGAAGAGGATGCTCACCTGGGACTCACACGAGAGGATTGTGCCCAGTGCCGCCCTCAAGCATCCCTTCATCTCCTTGCAGCAGGTGAAGTCCAGCTTCGAGGCCACCCAGTACTACCAGCTCTGCCAAGAGGACTTGAGAGCATCCCGTAAGGGTGCCGGCGCAGTTGAGATCTTCCCTGGCATGCAGGAACGTGCCTTCATCCCCACTGGTCACTACAGCATCCAGAAGGCCATCACCCAGATGGATGGGCTCAGCCTGGCTGAGCCAGTTGGGGACACCATTGACAAGAGCCAGCAGGACGTCTGCCAAGCCCCCATCCCCACCCACTACGGCACCCGGCACCGCCAGCATCACCGATGTCCCAAGACAGAGCCCACTGCCAGTAACTTGATCATGCTGGGGTCCCCTGGCGGACGGAAGCAGCGCAGCCACCATGACAGTGGCATGGTCTTTGGCGGTATTGTGGAGCACAACCTGACTGGAAAACTGTACGTCTCGCCCCACACCAAGGTATGGACACGGGGGGGGGGGCTCACGTTGGAAGCGAGGGCTCCTGGGCATGGGTGCTCTGGGAGACTGGGTGCTTGGGGTGCCTTGGGGGCTTTGTGTCCTCCAGGTGCTTCATGTCCCTGGATGCTCAAGGTCCCTGGTGCCCCATGTCCCCTGGTGCCCTTCGTCATGAGTACTTGGGGTCCCTGGGTGCCGCAGGTCCCCACCAAAGGGTGGAGACCCCACCCATGGGAGCTGCTCACCTCCTCCCCGTGCTTCTCCCCTCCTGCAGAGAGCTTCGGTGATGCGGCGGGACCCCAAGGCCCCAGGTCCCATCCCCACCTGTGAGGACGGGCTCTGGGGGCCAGGCTGGAAACCCCTCGCTGTACCCAACACACTCCTCCCAGCACAGAGCTGGCAACACCCACAGCACTGCTGAGCCGCCGTGGCAACCCTGGCAAACACCCTGACAGCCAAGAGCTCACCAAAGGCCTTCCTCTTCCTCACCTTTGGTCACCCCATCTGGCAAAACCCGGCCCCGTCCTGGTAGAGGAGAACATAGCCAGAGATGCACCAGGATGGGCTGTGCCAGATGGTACTGGCACTGGTTCTTGCAATGATCCCCCAATAAATGGTTTGCCAACAGATGAGCATTTCATCCGACTCTTTGCCAGGATGGGTTTGGCACCACCGAAACTCAAGGGGCGTCCCGGCTTCCCTCCCAGTGCTGGCACAGCATTTGGCAAAGGCACGGTACTCTCCATCACCATGGCACAGAGGACCCCCCAAAACTCAATAACAACAATGCAAAGTCCAGAAAAACTTGTTTTTTCTGGTTTTTTTTCCCCAAACTGGAGGGGGGCAGCCAGATTCAATACAGCCAGAACCTGTGGTTCACCAGTGGTCTGTTCCCTGGCACCTAACGGGAGCCGCAGAAGCTCTCCCACCGCTCGGCATCACCGATGTCAGCGCTGTACTGGGAACTCCAATCCCGCTCAAAAACTGCCTGCAGCTGCTCCCGGATGGTGCTGGTGCCAGCAGCAGAACCGGCAGCGATGCCAGCACCAGTTTGGCTCACCGTTTGGTTCACCACCAGTGCCAATCCCGCTGTCCGCGTGAAGTAGTCACCAGACCAGTTGGATGTCCCTGCAAGGAGATGTGGGGGAGAACACCCCAAAAACCACCCCCAAGCCACTGTCACCAACAGCCGGCAGCAACTTGCACGGCGGCACCACCACTCGCACCACACTTACCGATATACGCCACCTTCTCTGTCACCATGTACTTGTTGTGGTTCACCCGGGCGTAGGGGATCTGCGCTTGCGCTGCACTCGTTGGCACCATGAAAAGACGCTGTGAGCAAGGAGACCGTCACCCACTGAAACATCACCTGCCAGCACGCCGCGATCGCACCACAATACCCACCACCTGCATACTGTAGTGGGTCCGATTATCGGCAACAGCAGCAAGGGATTTGAGGAAGGGGAACATGGTCACTTTGCTGTGCCGCCAACAACCCACCAACAACCGAACCTTGACCCGGCGTTCAAAGATGGCTTTCCGCAGCCAGTTATCGATTGCCGGCCAAAATCTGGGGAGGAGAAACAGTTAGGCATCACTGATGCTGGCAAGCTGGAGTCGGCATAGGACCATACGAACCTTTGGGGGTGGGAAAACTCAGTGGTGGGTAGGTAGCTCATCACCGCGATGTACACGAACTCCTTGGCGTCATCGATGACACTGAGGAGGGCGCCAAGATCCTGGGTCCGACCAGCAGCACAGAGCGCCGGTGGGGAGCTCTGCCGTAATCATCACACATGGATCAGCCACAGGTACAGCCGATCCTCGGCACTGGGAAAACCAACCACGGTGGATTGGCAACATACCGAAAAGTAGACGGCGGCAGCAGTGTCATTGAACTTCAACTCTAATGGCGTCTCCATGTTGAAGGTGGTGGAATAATTTGCTGGCCATGGTACCGGGATGGAAGCACCAGGTTTTCCCAATAAGCTTCAAAATTTTTGTCTAAATCTTTGGCCAAGCAGCTGCAGTTGTAAACAGCGGCACCGAGCTCTTTCACCTGCAGTGAGCAGCACAGTGGCACTATCACAACACCGCACAGTGCTGCTATCCCTCTCCAATGCCCTAAGTCCCACCTTATGGAACTGAGCATCCCTTGAGGAGGGTGGAGAGTTGATTTGGGGATAATCTCAGCACTGTTCAGCACAGGTTTGACACCATCCAGTGGTGCAATGGTGCTGCTGTGCTGCTCACCTGGGTCAAAGACCTCCAGTCCATGTTGGCGCTCCCAACGTAGAGGTGGGTGCCATCAACGAGCCAAAACTTGGTGTGCAGCACACCGCCAGTGAGTTGCGGCATATCGACGGTGCGCACCGCAGCACCTGTGTGACCACAAGTTGGGCATCTCCCACTCAAAATCTCCCCAAAACCCCAGTTTGGGGGTTTTTTTCATCACTCACCACTCTGCTCCAGCGCTTGGAGATCATTCAGGGGCGATTTTGACGATGGGCGGCTGACGGCGATTCGGATAGTGATGCCACGCTGGGATAACTGGAGGAGTTCCTCCAGGATTTGTTCACCCTGAATCAGCACATGGTTTGAGGCCAAATAAAAAAAAAAAAAATAAAAAAAAAAAGGCAGAAATGATTAAAAAATATGGGAAGGTGAGAAAATAGCAGCCAGTGCTGGAATCAGAGCTGTGCCACGCATGCTGGATGCTGGCAGTGCAGACCTGAGTGGCAGAGGGTTCATGTGTCCGTGTGTCCTCATTGGTCATGGTCCAGTAGAAGGAGGCGATATCCAGGCTGTGGGTGACGGTGCCCAAGAGGTGCATCCACGTGAAAAAGGTGGATGGATTCGGCACGGAACTGTCACTGAAGGTCATTCCCTCTGGGATGCTCTCTACCAGGACAATGCTATGGCAGAAATTTGGCGGCATCAGTGAGATTGTAGTGCCAGGATGTCAAGAATCACAGGAGTGCATCACCACCCCCCCATAAGCTCATTTTACCGGCACGTGTCACCACAGGATCCGGCATCGCCGCCAGCATCACCACAGAGGGCTGAGCTCAGCCGGAGATTGAAGAAGAGGAGGAAGATGAGGATGAAGAAGGTGAGGAGGACGGCAGAGAGCAATGCACCACGGAAGCACTGGAATGGAGAGGGGGCGTCAACGCCCCGAAATTAAGGAATAAATTAATTTATGGGGTTTAAAGCCACCCTCAACAACGGTGGGATCTGACAAGGGGTGGCACCGGATCCAGCCAGCATCAAAGACGGCCTCCATAGACCATGGGGGGGGTTACCTTTGGTGGGACGCAGGTGGGCTGTGCCTCACGGTCCTCCAGTGGGTCCAGCTGTGATGGGGGACAGAGAATTGGGGTGGGGAGGGACCCTGAACCAGGGTGGAGGCTGGTTTTGGGGTAAACCCCACCCCAAAATGCCCGGGGTCCCCAGGGAAAAGCATGCGTGATTATGTCCCCCATATTGCCAGGGGTCCCCATGGGGTGCAGGGTCTGGGTGGAAAGCGGGGGCATGGGGCACCACGGTTTGGGATTTTAGGGTGCCAGCATGGGCCAGGGAGCTGTGGGGTGCCTCGGTTTGGGGTTCTGGGGTCCCAGGATGGGGCAGGGAACTCCATGACCCCCAGTTTTGGGACTTGGGGTGCGGCCCCCACCATACCTGCTTGTAGGTGCTGTCGGGCTTCATCTCGGCGTGATGGTGGAACAGAACAAACCAGATTTCTCCTGACGGGCCCAGACAGACGCGTTCTCCCCTGCTGTGTGGCCCAGCTGGGATTTTCGGGGTACGGATCAGGGCAGAGACCCCCAAAAACCCAGGCAGGGCAGAGGCTTTCCCTGCTGACTCACAGGATCGGGGTGCTCACGTGCCCTGACCAGTTTGGGGCGGGGAGGGGAAGTGCCTGGTCCTCCCACCCCCTCCCCCACACACATTGGGGCTCATCCCTTCTGGAAATACGGCGGAGAACTCCAATTTTGGGGTGCAGCCCCCCATACCTCACTGGGACCCCTCCCCTGTGCCTCAGGGACCCCACAAAAAGGGAGCACTCGGCCCCAGGGCTCAGCCCCCCCCCCAAAATCCTGACCTGTTTTGGTGGTGGTGTTAGGGTTGCGGGGCAGTTAGGGTCTGGGGTGGGGGAGTTAAGTTCAGTCTGGTGTCAGCCCCCTGGCTCAGCTGAATTTGGGGACGTCAGGGCTGTGTTTTGAGGTTAAGATGATGTTTAGGAAGGGGTTTAGGGCCAGGGACATATTTAGGGTCAAGTTTAGGGCCAAGTTTAAGGCCGGGGACATATTTAAGGCCAATTAAAATAGCCAGGAACATATTTAGGGCTGGGTTTAGGGCCAGGGACACATTTGGGGTCAAGTTAAATGAACAGGGACAAGTGAGGACCAGGTTTAAGGGCAGGGACATGTTTAGGGCCGAGCTTTGGACCAGGTTTGGGCCAGGGCCGGGCTTAGGGCCAAGTTTAGGGCCAGGGAAATATTTAAGGCCAAGTTAAATGGCCAGACGCATATTTAGGGCCGGGTTTAAGGCCAGCGACACGTTTAGGCCCAAGTTAAACGGCCAGGGCCGGTTTTAGGGCCTGTTTTAAGGCCAGGGACATGTTAAGGACCGGGCTTGGGCCAGGTTCCCGCTCAAGGCCGCGGCTCCCGGGGATTCCCGGGGGTGCCCCCCACCCCCGCCCCCCACGTACCGGAAACACCGGCGCCAGTGCGGGCGGCTGTTC